TTCTGAAAACTTTACCAAATAATAATTTATTAATATAGTAAAATGTATCGAAAATAAACCAACCTAGTATCATAATTAGTACTGATGAGGAATTGGCTCTAGTTTGCCAGTGTATCATTCCAACCCCCAAAAATTATAGAAAGATCTTAAAGCAGAGGGGTATCAGTTTCTATATAAAAAGGTATGTGAGTGGCTTACAAACCAGATCGAATAGCAAAAATATGCTCCATCACCAAAAGATACTCCACAGGTTAGTTATGGAAAAATTTCACGTCCAAACTGCGTACATATGTATGATTTATTACGCCTCACAAATGATACTGTCAATAAAAAGACATACAAATGGGTATTTACTGTTATAGATGTCGCATCTCGTTTTAAATGAGCTGTTCCATTGATATCGAAAAACAGTTCAGAAGTCACCAAAGCATTTAAGAAAATATATAATAATTCGAACGTCTTCCTTACCTGGCCTGATTTATTACAATGCGATGGCGGGCGTGAATGGATAGGTGAGACTTCAAAAATAATGGAGGCACATAATGTTATAATCCGAGTTATAGGCCCGTATTCTCATCGAGGTCTTGCAATCGTAGACAGATTTTGTAAGACATTAGCAGAGATGCTATACAAAGTTCAATCCGCCGTTGAAACTATATCTGGGAATCCTAAATTAATAAGGGCATGGGTTAAACATTTACCAAATGTTCTTGAATATCTGAATAATTATCCAACATGACTTATACGAGCACTAGGATCAAAGAAATGGGATTAGCGCCTATGAAGGCAATTAGATTGGATAGGGTAGAGTCTAGACTATCTACAAAATACAAACGTTCAGTTGGTAAAGATGAAGAAAAATTAAAAAAAAGGAGATACCATTCATTTCTTACTCGCTAATGCAGAATGGGAAGGAGGTATGGAAAATCAAAGGCGTGTAACGGATGAAATTTGGAGCCCTTCTTTACATAAAATCCACAAAATTGTGATAACGAAAAATGAACCAATTTTATATTATTTAGATGGGGAATTCGCATCAACACGTGGGTTTGTACGTGAAGAATTAATGCTAATTGATCTCGAAAAACTTTAGTATCCGCCTCAGAGTATATTAGAAGAAAACACTCGTTCCAGGTCTGTTAATTTCGTTCGTATTATTAATAAAATGGCTAAAGCTGTTGCATATGCTGTGAAGTGTGACAGAAAATGTCTTGGTAAAATTGGCCGAATAAATGATTTCGATTTATATCTCTGGTCCTGTGAAAACGAAAAGCATCAGTGGGAATATCCATATCCATTAATAGCTACGAAATTTGAATGGTGTCCACTTTGCTTCCATCATACCGATGAGCGTCGCTGTAGATATATTTTCAAAGATCTGTTAGGTAAGAAATTTCCATTTTGTAAACCATCATTTTTGAATAGGATGCAATTAGACAGGTATAATAAAGAGCTAAAATTAGCATACGAATTCCAGGGAGTTCAATACTACCATCGCAATAGTTTATATCACAAAAATCAAGATGATCTAGATAATCAAAGAAAACGTGACCAAAAAAAGCATGAAATATGCAAAGAGCGAGATATAGATCTTATTGAAATACCGTATGGTGCTGATTTATTCCCATACATAAAATACAAATTGCAAGAGAAAGGTTATCTACAAAATATAGATATAAATAGTGTGTCAAAATCAGATTATTTGTCAGAATAAAAAAACATAATATATATTTATAACAAAAAGATGTTATATTGTGTATTTGCCGTAGATGAGGTAAAACCTTCGAAAAAATACCAGTGAGATAAAGATGCACCAGCATGGCCTTTTCGTATCGTGATGGCAGGGGCTAGCAATTCAGGTAAGACCAATATGAAT